CTGCCTCCATTACCAAGCTGCTGCCTTTCTCCAGGATGCTTTCTGGACACTCTGGCTGAGACTCATGCACAAATGAAGTCCCACAGAACAAGAAAGCGAAACTCTGTGACCTACGACTCCAGGCTCAACGGAACTGGGAATAGAGATCCTCTGCCTGCTCCCAGTAACCCGGCTGACCTCCACTACCTCCACTACCCAGCCGCTGCCACGCTCCAGGATGCACCATATAACACTTAATACAAGATTACCACACCATATTTGATGGGGTTCAAATGTGATTTGAATCATGGGAACACCTGCAAGGACAATTAGAGGCCGCCTTCTTGGAGAGCCTGGCAAGCTACCGAGAGTGTTCCGCCTGCATGGAGAGCCTGGCAAGCTATCCATGGTGTATTTGATATGCCAAAACCAGTAAATACAATGGGTCTCATTCCCCTGACCCTGAAAGAGCCACCCATATGGAAGCATTAAGAAGGATGAGGAAGGAGAGGCTGATAAAATCTCAGGACCGAACTAGGCTGCCAAAACGAAGGACAAAAATGACTGTATTTTCAATGCACGTACACTGGCATCAGATGTATCCATCGAGGACCTGATGGTGCAAGCGCAAAAGATCAAGTACGACATCATTGGTCTGACCGAGACAAGAAGGCATCAATCACATCAAGCTGTTTCTGACACCGGAGAAGAATTGTTCCTCGGACCATGCAACAAAAGAGGCATTGGTAGTGTCGGTGTCCTTGTCAACATGAACTTCACCATAAACATTGATTCATTCGAATACCTAACAACCCAAATCTGACAATTATGCTTGAATAGATGTGGCTCACTGCTGGCAGTTTCTATCTTCATTGTCTATGCACCGATATCCAATTATGATGAAGGAGAAATTGAGAAGTTCTGCATGGAGCTGGAGAAGTTCTATAGAAAAGACCACACCTACTACAAGATCATTGTCAGTGATTTTACTGTCAAGATAGGACCGAGAAAATCAGCCAAAGAACTCCACATTGGGACCCATGGCCTAGAATGGAATGAACAGAGTGAGAGACTGTCTAAGTTCATCATGTCAACCAAGACCATCCATGGTAACTCACAATTCCAGAAGGCCGAATCTAAACGTTGGACATGGGAATCTCTCGATGGATGATTCCACAACGAAATTGACCACATCATATTCAATTGATCACATCATATTTAGCACCCTGACCAATGTTACTGTTGTCCCAAAATTCCAAACGGGATTGGACCACCGTCTCCTTCATGCACAATTCTACTACACAGAGTGGGGAGAAAGGACTGCAAAGTTTAAGAAGAGAACTTCCAGAAAGACAACCAACTGGAAAATTTTTGGCAATATTGCAGCAACAGGGAAAGATATGGTCATTGACAACATTGACGAGGAATATGATCGACTGGTTCAGCACATCCATGATTGTGTGAGGAATGCTGAGAGAGAGATAGCCATAAAAAGATGCCTGTCATCGAAAACTCTCAAGCACATTCGCCAACGTGGCTTGGCACAAGTCTTAGACAATCACAAGCAAATATCTGAGCTCACAAAGCAGTGCAGAGAAGCTATAAAGGAAGACCTCAAAGAGAGAAGAGTAGCAGTGCTGGCAAATGTGGCAGAAGCTGGGAAAAGCATTCACAATGCCCGCCTGTCCTTCACCAATTATAAGACCAAGATGACTGCCCTCCGACATCCTGATGGAACTATCACATCCTCCAGAAGGGCAATGGAGATTATCCATAACTTTTACTCGGATCTCTTTAATAGCCATGTCCACCTTCCCACATACCAAATTGCGCAGGGTGGATATGCCGTTCCCAACATTCTCCATTCTGAAATCAGACAGACCATTTCATCTTAAAGAAGCGAACAGCACCCAGCCCAACAAGGTCAGACCCAAACACCTGAAGAACCTTGCTCAGTACTCATCAATACACTGCCCAAACTCCTGAAGAACCTGCCTCAGTACTCATCAATACACTGGCTCAGCTCTTCACACGCTACCTGTCTGAATGCAAGTTTTCATCCCATTGGAAAACCAGCAGGACTGTACTACTGTACAAGAAGGGAAACAACCATGCAATTGGCAACTATCGCCCAATCGGCCTGTTGTCTGTCGTCTACAAGCTATTCACTTGAGTTATCCTGAATAGGATTGGCAGAACACTAGGTGAAGGAAAACCATGTGAATGATTTGGTTTTAGAAAATGATTTAGCATAATTGACCATATCCACATGATAACCAAGCTCAGTAAGGTCTCTCGGGAGTTCAAGATGCTGCTCTGTCTAGCATTCATTGATTTAAAGAAGGCCTTTGATTCTGTTGAGATGGAAGCAGTCATCGAAACCCTAGCCAAACAGGGCATTCAAACTCAATACATCAGGATCCTCTGTGAGCTCTTTTGAGAATTCACTACCAGGATCTCACCATTCTATAGGGAGGTGATCATTGACGTCAAGAGAGGGGTTCGGCAGGGTGATATCATTTCACTGAAACTCTTCAGTGCCACCCTTGAGAACGTCATGCGATGATGGAAACGGGAAGGAATGGGAGTGAAGATAGACGGTTGGCAACTACACCACCTCTGCTTCGCTGATGACATTGTTCTAATAACACCAAACATCAACCAAGCAGCACAAATGCTGGCTGACTTTGACCATGAGTGTGGAAAGGTCAGACTACAGCTAAATCTCACGAACACAATGTTTATAAGAAACAGTCTTGTTCCTGACATTCAATTCGCTCTCAATGGGACAAACATCTCTGAATGCAACAGTTGTGTGTACCTAGATCGAGAAGTCAACATGACGAATGACCTGGCACCAGAGTTGTGCAGGAGGAAGACAACAACTTGGAATGCCTTCAAGTGCATCGAAGAAATAGCTAACAGGATGAAGAACCTCTGGCTCCAGGCACATCTCTTTGATTCCACTGTTCTTCCTGCATTAACATACACCTCAGAGATCTGTGCCCATTGAAAACAGGATGAGAACGCTATTTGGGTCTCCAAAGAGGAATCAAAAGAGCTATGCTTGGATTATCACATTTCATTCAAATGAGAGAAAGAATCCGGAGTTCCAACCTCTGTTGACAGTCAAGAATCAGGGATGCTGTCTTGTTTGCCAAGGCATCGAAAATCAGATGGGCTGGACACATAATGAGATTTGGAGACGACCACTGGACTAGAGCCATTACCAACTGGATTCCATGGGATGTCAAATGATCGTGTGGCTGCCCACCTATAAGATGGTCAGACTTCTTCATCAAGACCCTGAACAATTGGTTTGAGGCTGTTTGTGTTCCTAGAATGAGCAGACGCCACTGAGCTACACTGGTGGGTGACAGGGATGAATGGAGACGTTACTGGTGCCTGCTCCAGCAAATCGATGAGTAACTGGATGTCAAGTGATCAAGTGACCAAGTGATTGCTTCACACATCAACTGTTGAGTAAAAAGTGTTCACAGTAGTCTAAATTGTTAAAAAATAATGCTACAGTAACAATTAATTAGTTGTACCTAGAAGAATTTAGGAAACAACTTAAATCACCCAATTATTTGCTTTTGATTTTCCCTTAATAATCAAATAATCCATTATTTAATGTCATTTTTGATAAGGCATAAAAGAAGGAGAAAAGGGTGGAAATATGGTAGTATTTTGTCATAACTCAAGTTTCCAAACTAATGATTCAGAAACGATTGTCACTGTCACTGTCACTATCCTCCCATTGTTCATCAATTTGCTCAAGTGGGCCCAGTAATGTCTCCATTGTGAGACTTCTTGTCACTGTGTTTGGCATATCGAATATGTCATGGGTAGCTTGCTAGGATTTGCCGTGAGGGCATGATACTCTTGGTGGCTTGCCAGGCTCTCCGAGAGGGGCAGAGGAATCAAACCCAGCTCGGCCGGGCTGGCAGTGTGCAAGGCAAACACCCTACCGCTGTGCTATTAGTCCATAATTTTAGCCAGTAATAATACATCATTCATAGGATCCTAGAGAAGATTCAGTTTTTCACTCTTCATAGCTCTGGATATGAAAGTAGAAAGTCACTTTCTGAAAGTGTTGCCAAAAGTACCGTACCAAAGAGGTTGGGAACACCAATACAAGTACTGGGGTACTTTTTGTCACTAAAGGAGAATAACATTATATTAAAAGCACAGATTAAATGAACTCATTTGTGCCAATATCCAAAAGGTAGGGGAGATCCTTTAGAACATAGAAATGAAGAAGTCAGAAACAACATCCAAGGGGGTTGGAGAAAGGGAGGGGAAGAGCAGACTCTTGGTATTTATTATATTCCCATTGAAAACATAACCCATTCCTTGATTACTCCAATTACTCAATGATCTCTATGGATAGCCCTGGCAGAGGTGCCTTCCACTGCCACCAATGGGGAACTGCCTGAGGTCCACTAACTCAGTTTTCTACCAATCTCCTAAATTAAGCCATTTTTAAAAAAGTTAATTCCATGAGAGAGGATCAGTAACTGCCATCGTAAGCTTGGATTTTAAGTCCAGTAGGCTGCAGACACAAGTTGTACCAAGACCATGAACAGGTGTTTTTCCCCTTAATAACTCTTAGCAATTTTTATATTTTAGGTTATGTCTTCTTTAGAGAAATCTATCCTATCACATTGTTTCGAGAAAAGAATGATGACCAAGAGGAATATTACTGCAGCTAACTATGTACACAATTCCAGACATACTTCAAGATTCTATGTGCTGTCTTTCTTGGGTCAGAGGATAAGAAACTGAATTGCAAAGAATAAGGGAGTAGCTTATCTTGCCCTAGAAATCACTGCTGGCACACAGGAATTTTGCTATTTGTCTGGAAGTGACCAAAAAAAAAAAAAAAGTCTTAGTGGGTCATGTGACCCTGCCAGCTTTCAAGGCAAATCTCTTCTTATAAGGGTGCTGTGTGAGCCTCTGAAGGCTGGAGGTTTTTCTCTGCAGATGCAAGAGGAAAGCAGGTGGATGGAGACATAAGCATGGCCTTCCTGCTGGTCTCCTTGCTAGCATTCCTAAGCATGACCTCGGGCTGTCACCATCGGCTGTGTCACTGCTCTAACTGGGTTTTCCTCTGCCAAGAGAGCCAGGTGACAGAAGTCCCCTCCGACCTCCCCAGGAACGCAGTCGAACTGTGAGTATCAGAGGAGTGGGAACCCTTGTGTGTCTGGTATTTATGTGTTGAGTGCTATTATTATTTTCACATTTGTCTGATAACCGATAACTGTTTCTGCCTTGAGCAAAAGATTGAATAAAACAAACTCCCCTAACCCAGCAGCCAACTCCCCTGCCCTCTCTAAACATGTTACTAAGTGTTTGTCTCTGCATTTTGCAATGAGAGCAACATGGAAACCTGGATTAAAGGGAGAAGAAAAACTCTTCAGTCTTGTCCATGCACTTGCTTTTAGATTCCATACATTCTTTGGTAGAATCTTAACAAATTAAACAAAGAAACAGGCTCTGTTTGGTAGAATCTCAAAAAGTAAAACTAAGAAAAAGTGAAAACTTAGAATATTGAGAACTGGAGACAGAAAGACAGCTTTGCTTTAATTACAATGTACAATGTATGTCTTCTAAAGATACTAAACTCAAGAATGCTAATGCCATTGTTGGTTCAGAGGCATCGGCAAATAATTCTTGATCTGAGATTCTGCTTCACACGGCAAAGCCAGAAGTTGTGATAGAGGAAAAGGGGTGTGACTTAAAGAAGAAAGAAAATGGAGGTAGCAAGGAAAGGAGAAATGCAAGATGGCCCTTGAAACAATTGGTAAAATGTGATTCTTTAGATTTTCATTCAGCTAATTCAACAAGAAGTAGTTCTTCGAGTTGAACAAGATCTTAGATATCATTTCATGCTATCTCTCTATTTTGCAAATGAAGAATTTGGACACTAGAGAGTAAGGATAATTGCCCAAACTCTCACGATAAATTACGACAGAGGCAAAACTCAGTATCAAACTTTTGAATCCAAAGTGTAATTGATTCTCTCCCCACCTATCCAAAATACTTACTGCATTAAACCAATTAACAGTACAATAACTAGTCACCCTGAGAATTGACAGAATGTGACCCAGAGATCTTAGATAGATAACATCAGTATTCTTATTCTGAGGATTATAAATAGAAACTGCAATTTTGAAGGACCATTTCAAACTTTGCTGTGAGACTGGTGATGGTTCTTATTTTAGAGTACCATTTCAGTTCATTGATTGCTTTCTCCACACATGAATGTGTTGCTTTTCAGATCCAGGGACAAACGGTCACTGACATGGTTTTCCAGTGACTTTTCCCCTGGTTTCTTTCAAGCAGCACTTACAGGGGCAGAAAAATAATAATAATAATGAATAATAGCCAGCTCACTGTTTGGACTGTGCTACAGGAGATGGGACAATTATTCCTGATAATGGGAAGGGTATGCCTATGCACACAGATAGTATAGTTCATTACATCATTGTAAACACAAGGTCAGTATACCTGAGTTTCTCTAAGAAGTTACTTGTTCCCATGTTTGCCACTCAATGCCTCTTTTGCAGACCACAACACCCAAAAGGAGAGAGAGAACACAGGGGATTGCCCTGCCACAGAGACGGGGGGATGGGGGGATGGGGGTGGGAGGGATATTATCCATGGTGGTGGAAAATGGGCACTGGTGGAGGGATGGGTATCTGATCATTGTATAATTGAAACCAAAGCACAAAAAATTGTAAATCTACAACTTTAAAAAAAATAAAATAAAATAAAGGGGGAAAAAAAAAAAAGAATAAAAAATTCTAATTGTTTCTCAAAAAAAAAAAATTATTTTGAACTGAATAAAAACAAAAAAATGCAAAAAAAAAAAAAAAAAGAAGTTACTTGTTCCCAAATGACTCTGAGCAGTTATTTAACCACTTCTGAACCCCCAGTTCTTCACTTCTAAAGTGCTTTTGATCCAACCTGCTAGGTCCCATTATTATAGGTACCAAAAGATACAGTCCCTATTCCCACCATCTCCTTTTTCTGGCCCTTTGCCATTTCTTCCACTGATCCCTTTGGTCAAGCAGTGTGAGCACATCCTAAAGCAAAGGGCCCTAACAAGGCATCCATTGAGGCTCATCATCCCCTTTCCTAAGCTGTTTAATCTCCCAGGGAGACCAGGGAAGGCTTTCTCTCTCTCTCTCTCTCTCTCTCTCTCTCTCTCTCTCTCTCTCTCTCTCTCTCTCTCTCTCTCTCCCTTCCCAACTCTCTCTTCTCTCTCCAACTCGTCTCGTTTCCCCTAGCATCCTGGGGCAATGCTACACCCAGTCAGTACAAAATCAACATAAGAAAGCCCTTCTGACTGCCTATCAGGCTCAAGGCAGAAACACCACCTGGGGTATCCCTCTGCCTTAGTCCAATAACTTAATCAACATCTTAATTAACATCTTAATATTAATTATTTTTGTATGGACACAATAAGAGATAATTGAGTCTTGTATGTTGGGCGGCTCTCCTGGGAACATCTCACCACAGACTCAGACTACAGTGCTCAGACCAGATTAATCTTTCCTAATCCTTGCAGGGTCTGAGTCTAGTTAATACTTTTTGGATCATGACAGCATTTTGTCCATGACCAAGCTCTTAACTTATAGTTAAGCATTATGGCACTTTTGCCAGGCCCATTTCGATGCCAGTGTAGCACATAGCTAACCGCTTATCCTGGATCCATCCAGTCCCTTGTTGGGACCCTGCTTTTGGGGTGCTAAAGAGTTAGGGCAACTGAGGCTTAAGTCGATAACAGATGCCCAGGAAGTAAATATCACTGAGAGACAATTGTTACAAAAGCATAGCATTTACTGTCTTCCTTTGCCTATACAAAAAGAACATTGCTCTGAATTAACTATTCAAAGGACTTAGGAGAAGAGAAAAGCAATATTTACAAGCCAACAGATCACAAAGAAAGAAGTTACAAATAAACACAAAGGAATGGCAGCACTGTGATGAGAGTAACCCAATAAACTTAAGCTCCCTGTGGCAAGGCAGAAAGGACAAACCAATGTTATCCTACACTAAACCTATAAACTTACTGGTTTTCTTTTTGGTTTTTGTTGGACACCACAACAGGATGTGTTTAGGACATTCCTGGTGGTGCTTTGAGGATCATGTGTGGTACTAGGAACCTAACCAGAGTGGGCTGTATGCCAGGCCATTTTCTTTTTCTCCAGCCCAGGGAATTTCTTCAGCAAAAGAGGAATTTTTCTTTGGTCACACATAGAAGACATAGAAAAGGAAGAGAAAGAAAAATCTACCCCTTAACTCTAAACCTCATGTGCTGCAGGTCTGCAAGTAAATGTGAGAGGAACTTTCCTTTTAAAAATGCGAAGTTACAATAAGGTATAAATGACTGAAAAACATTTCTGCCCAAGTTTTTAATTAGGGAATATATATTGTGGGAGAGTTTGTGCTGGTAGAAAACCAGGAACAATTCTCATACTAGATCTGGGCAATCCCTCACTTAAATGTTTGAAATACAGGGCACTATTGCATAGAACAGAATGAGAAAGCAAGCACTAGCCAGTTGCATATAAACATTCTCCCCATCTGAGAAATAAGGGTGGTTGTTTGAAAACTTAAAACATTCTCCCAGATAGTTCATCTTGAGAAGATTCTCTGCTCTCTCATTAGCTAGTTGTAAGTTAATGTTCAAGGTAGTTTGGCTGTAAATATCTCTGTGAGCAGTTTTGTCACATAAGACAGTTTTTTTCTATGAAAGGGGGATAAAATGTATACAAAGGATACTCAAGAGGACATATAAAATGGTTTTCACTGTGTGATTAATTGGCTATAAAAGGATATGATGAATCATAAATCATTCATTACAAAAATTAGAAGGAATGTATTCCTGTGTTTAGAGTAATGATGGCAAGATTGCACAAGAACTTATTATTCTGGGCTAGAGAAAAATAATAAAATCAAAGTAAAATAATAAAATGACACTAATTCGAAATTTCAGAAGGATATCATGAAGCATAAAAGTCAATTAAGAAAAGTTTAAGGCAAGATGCAAATGATCAAACACAAATATGTTTTCAACAATACAAAGTATTTGGCAACTTTAATATTTAGTGTTCAAACTTACAGAAAGTATGAAATCAAAGCCTATTACTTCTATACTAGAAAAGTCTAACACATTATATTGCAAAGAGGTAGGTTTGTATTTCTTTTGCAGAGATAGTGAACCCCAAGTGACATTCAGCTTTATATACAAAAAGGTTAAAGATAGTTGATTGGTTGTTCAGGGGATGAAGTCAAACCAAACCATCAAGCAGTTCTTTTCCCTTTCCCGTCAAAACTGCCTTACAGTCAAGAAATTTCACAGGTGAAAATGCTTGCAGCAAGTTATTTAAAGAAAAACTACCCAATAATGCACAGGAGTAGTAGCAGTTTTCAGTGAGAATGATTGTAATGAAGACGTTTCTGTGGAAACCTCTTGCCATGAGTTGATTTTCTAGATTTCAGTTTTGCAATTTTCTTAGCCAGGTATAATGAGAAAAAGATAAATGTTGTTTGGACTATTAGGACAAATAAAAAATAATTTGTATTATGGTTAAGGTCATTGTTAATTATTAAAGAGCAAACAAAATGTTTAGTAAATAAGATCTCAGATGTATTTGAATGAAAGAGCAATTACTTCTGCTTTCTTAAAAAGATCAAATGAGGATTATCTGGAACACTGGGAGAAGAGAAATAAAATAACTTGTTCAAAGAAAGCTTTCTAATTCACCTTAAGGTTTTCCAAGTTTGGAATTGACGTTAATGATGATCAGGTGCAGGTGGAGGCAATGGCTGGGGTTCAGTGACTCCAATTGCTTCTTTGTTGGGTTCACCTGTTGAAAAACAACCCCTACATTTTACCTTGCACATTTTTATCCTATAGTTTCATCCACCTTGAAGCAGTTTTATTGTATATGTCTGCCAGTTGTTGCCAAAGAGATCTAATTTCCTAGCATCCAGACATACGAATCTTGATACTAAAACAGTTCACCAGTACCATGACAGGCAGGCAGACTCCATGGACTGAGGTCCCTCAGCTATTCATCTTTTGCTTTACATATGGTGCAGGTCAACTTCACAATAGATATTCAAGTATCCTGTTACTGCTCCATCTTTCAAGTGGAA